AGATGGCTAAATATGTTTTTGTGTGGATATGCTACAGCTGGGCAGCCACATAAGATGCTACAGCTTACTTGTAAACAAAGTCATTTACATACTTTTTGAATAGTTAATCCAGTTAACCTACAATCCCTTTTCACTTTACAATTTTCTTTATTTTATAGAATCATAGAATGGTTTAGGTTGGAAGCAACCTTAAAGATTGTCCAGTTCCAACCTCCCTGCCATGGGCAGGGACACCTTCCACCAGACCAGGTTGATCAAATCCCCGTCCAGCCTGGCCTTGAACCCTTCCAGGGAGGGGGCAGCCACAGCTGCTCTGGGCAACCTCTTCCAGTGTCCCACCACTCTCATAGTGAAAAATTTCTTCCTTATATCTAATCTAAATCTGCCCTCTTTTACTTTAAAACCATTACCCCTCATCCTATTGCTACACTCCCTAATAAAGAGTCCCTCCCCACCTTTCCTGTAGGTCCCCTTTAAGTACTGGAAGGCTGCTATAAGGTCTCCCCGGAGCCTTCTCTTCTCCAGGCTGAACAATTCCAACTCTCAGCCTGTCCTCATAAGGGAGGTGCTCCAACTGTCTGATCTTCTTAATTTCATAAGACTTTTTATCAATAAAGTGCCCTAACTCATTACAATTGTCCTTTTATTTTTACATTTATATTCCATGCTTACCAGCTGCTTAGAAAAGCAAGACTTGTTGCATATTAACAGTGAAACTAAAAATAAAGAAATGTAGCATGGTTTCCATGGGCCAGGTATAGAATAGATCCCAGAGCCAGAATCCAAAACCTTTAGAAGCTCCCATGGAGACATAGTGGGTCCATTTGAAAACAGTACTAATTATTACAGATTTCTGCAGGTTGTATATATGTTCCCATGTCTCAAAGCAAATAACACCAAAACAAGTTTGAATTGTGATAACTATTTGTCTAACCTCTGCTATTACCTCAGATTTGTCTTTCAACTAGTTATTTCAATATTAGCCAATTCGGTGTTTAGTTATTATAGAATCACATGATCACAAAATGGGTGGAGTTAAATAAGACCGCTGGAGGTCATTTTGTCCAGCCTCCTTTTCAAACAGGGTCACTTTGAGTGACTTACCCAGGACCATGACCAGATGGGTTTTGAATATCTCTAAGATGGGACACTTCACAACTTCTCTGGGCAACCTGTGCCAATTCTGTCACACTCACAGTGGAAGAGTGTTTCCTAGTGTTCGGATGGAACCTCCTGTGTTTCAGTGTGTGCTCATTGCCTCTTGTTCTGTCACTGGGCACCACTGAAAAGGCTTGGCTCTATCCTCTTTGGACCCTCCATTTAGGTATTTATATACATTGGTAGGATTATCTCTGACCCTTCCCTTCTCCAGGCTGAACAGTCCTTGCTCTCTCACCCTTTTCTCATATGAGATGGATGCTTCAGTCCCTTAATCAGCGTCATGACCCTTTGCTGGACTGTCTTCAGTAGCTCCATATGGCTTTTGTACTGAGGAGCTCAGAACTGGGCACAGCACTCCAGGTGAGGTCTTATCAGTGCTGAGTAGAGAGGAAGGATCATCTCCGTCAGTGTGTTAGCAGCACTGCTCCTAATGCAGTCCAGGATACTGGTGGCCTTGTTTTCCACAAGGATATATTACTGGCTCATATTCAACTTTGTGACCATCAGGACCCCCTGGTCATTTTCTGCAAAGCTGCTTTCTAGCTGGGTGGACCCAACATATGTTGGTGAAGGTAAATGCACTTCCCCTTACTGAACTTATTAATGTTCCTGTCAGCCCGTTTCTCCAGCCTGTTGCAGTCTCTCTGGATGGCAGCATGACCCTCTGGAGTATTAGCCACCCCTCCCAGTTTTGTGTCATCAGAAAACTTGTCAAGAGTACACTCTGCCTTATCATCCAGATCATTAATGAAGATGTTAAACAGGATCAGACCCAGTACTGAATGCCTTGAGTACAACACTCATTGCTGGCCTCCAACTAGATTTTGTGCTGCTGATCACCACTGTCACGGTCCTGATTGTCCAGATAATTTTCAATCCACATCACTGTCTCACTGCATTTTTTCACTGATTAAGGAAATTAGACATTATCACCATTTTCTCCTTGGGTCTGTTTGTTTGCCAGTAACTCTAAATAACCTAGCACAGATTTTTGCATTTCAAGAAGCTTCAAATGTAATTCTGTGTTTCACAGAGACTTAAAGAAAATCTTATACTAACTAAACATTTCAGGAGTCTATTATTTATGAAATAGGTTGTAATATATTACAAAGGAAATTTCTGGATAAATTGTTCGTATTGATTGGTTTTATAAGACACGTTCAATACTTCAGGAAAGATCTACAGAACTTCTTTTGGATGCAAGTTCTTCCATTTATATAAGCTCTACACATTTTCACATTTCTTATGAAAATTCCTGGTTTTCTTTTTACATACTTCAGTTCCCCATCAAGGAGATCCCCATAAAGTATTTACATGTATTGCACTCCATTCAAGGCCTATTGCCTCATAATTTTCTCTCTCGTTACAGGTGATCAATCTTATTTTTCACAGCAAAATTTTCCTCTCTTGGGAGGTTTTCCTAATGGGAACATGATTTTCATCAGGCCTATCTGCCTATTGGAAGATCTAGCCAACCAGCATTTAGATAGCATTAAAAGGGTTCTGACTCACCCAGAGTGATAATAACAATTTAATTGAATTACATGCAGAAAAGCTACTAAAGTATAATCCATTTAATGGTAGACTATTTAAAAAACAAACATTTGCCGGGTAAATATGCTTAAACATTGTTGAATTTTCAGCATCTGATACCTTATTTACAGATTGTTGGTTTTATGATAATAATATTGATATTCTATTACTATTTAATGAAGTGTATCACCTCAGGTGTCAGATTTTATTTCACTATCACTCTTGAGATGCTTAAAGGTTGCAAAAAAGGTTATTTTTCAAAAGTGATCAAGATCTACCATATTTCTAGAATTTTAACAGATTGTACCCTTCTGTATGAATTGTTACCAATGTTACTGTATTGCTAACAAATGAGAACATACTTTCAGAATTGTTTGGTGGGTCAAATTACATGGTCTAGATTACACTTCAGCCTGGATTCTTGCTACTAGAACTCCTTTATATGAAAACTTCTTCATATGGGAGAAAACCCACCAGGACCTTTTTCTCCTTCTTTCCTCCTCTGTACTTCGCTAATGTGGTATAGTGTTTTCAGTAAATCAGAGTGATCATTGCAAACTCAGCAAAAGGAAGAAATGTACTGGTTATGCTAGACACAGCTTGGACGTTAATTTGAACCAGCTGTCAAAGTAGGTTTTAGTTAAGTATCTTTCAGCACTAGATATCAACATCTGAGTACATTAACTGAACTATTTAATTATGTTTAGTGTTGTTGGTTATCATATCTATCTACTTATCTATAAAACTGCTTAACAATTAATGTTAATTGCCTACTCATTTATATTTGCAGTCCCTTAAGTTCATGAGTATTTACTCATGACTTATATTGTGCAACTGTAAAAGACAACTGGGAAAAAAAACAGCAGCCTGATTATAGAGGGACAGTTTAAAAGAGTAATTTTACAACTCAAATTTTTGAAGTTGACACATTCTGACTGTTCAGGTTAAAATGGCTGATCTTGCTTATAGAGCATTAGAGTTTTCAGGATATTATTTGGTTATGAATCTTACTGTCCTGACTTGAATAACACTAGACAGGAACAGCATTTTTGGTGGTGGGTTGTGGGGTTTTTTTCAGTTGATACATTGCCTACTTCCAAACTTTGTCTTCATTGTTGTATTTACAGATTTTACTACACTGAACCAGTCCTGAAACAATAAGATCGATTTAATGAGTAGACAACGTGGCTCAATCTACCTTAATTTTCCTCTTGTGCATTCCTTTTGAGTCCTGGGCACTATGTATGTGGCTCAGGAGAACCTTAATGCAGAGTGGTTTTTATATAAATGTTTATCATTCATTTCAGAAGACCAGATTATATCAACTTTCCAGACAAAAAGTAAAGGCCATTGGATTTCCTTCTTGTTTTGTTTTGTTTTGTTTCTTTTTTTTTTTTTTTTTTCTCATGAAAATGAGAAAAATAGTTCAGAATATTCTTTAGGTAAAAAAGTAGTGCAAGTGACAAAATTTCCCAGACAAGACCAGTCTATTCTGAAGAAATAATCTTCTCTTTAAATACTTTAGCCTCTTTCACATTTCTGGTTTTGGACAGTATCTTCAAACTCGGCCAAATTTTGTGAACTGATGATTTGTCTATACATAGTTGTCTATTGAAGCATATTCTAAGACCAAACTCATTTCATCTATGTGTTGTACCTGGTTATAAAAACATGATACAAAACATCTCAGACGGTAAATATAATCATGTGTATCTGATTGAAAATAACACCTGTATTAGACTTATTACCTTTCTAGCACAATGAATTCCATGGTAAATCCTTGCAGTATTTATTCCAGGAAGACTAAATAGATGCTTCCAGCAAAGAAAGTGTCTCCTTTTTGTCAGTAGGGATAGCAGAGTGTTAATAAACACAGATGAAGTTTAGATTTCTCTAGTTAAGTTGAGTGTTATACTACAAAATGCAAAATAGTCAAAAGGATTCTGACTGGATCTGTAAATATATCCTCTTTCATTAGAAAGATGTATTAAAATATTGTGCTTAGTTGTGTGATGTTCTTCCTTGCTATTGTATTCAGAAATATTTTTGAACACACTCTTCTGAAAGAGAGAGACAGAGAAAATCAGGATTTCATAACAGGGAAAAAAAGAACTTGGTATGATGGTATCATTTCTGCATTAATAATTAGTGTGTTGACACAGTTTTGAAAAATTTCTCATTTCCAAGAAATATATGTATATCACTAAAGTGCACTGTCAAATTTTAGCGCATTGTCAAATTTTAGCTCATTGACATTATAGCCAAGATGCTGAACAAAACTAATTTTCTTTTTCTCAATTTTTAAGATCCAGATTTTAAGGACCTTGGTGTTTTGAAACCATTGCCAGGTTGGTATGTTGTTTTGTTTTTTTTTTTTTTTTTTTTTTTTTAACTAGGTGGCCTTTGCACTCTGCTGTAGAAAATATTTTTGTTTGCTGTTCAGGTTTCATTTTTTCTGATATTTTGTTATTCAGTTTGTGAGTTTGAGATGGGAGGACCTGAAGGAATTGTGGAATCTGTGCAAATTGCCAAAGAAGGAAAAGCTTCTGAAACTGAAGCAGTAGACTGTAAATGGTACATCCGAGCACCACCCAGATCCAAGGTCAGTCCTTCATCCACTTGCTGAATTGCCATTTAATTTAAGAAATTGACTTTCCTAATACATTGTGCGTTTCTTAGTACAGTCAGATCTTGTTTAATAACTTCACAGCTTGAACTTGTAAACTATTTTTTTCCTTCTGTTGTGGAAGGGTAATTTGTCACATCAGCCAAAATAACCTTCTTTCTCTATAAATAATGATGTGGGCAGTGTTAATGTGCTTTTTGTGCCATAAGTAATTTTCTTAAATTCATCTTTAATTTTGCTCATAGTTTTAAAGAATCAATGTGTTTTATTAAGTGGGAGGTAATCTTATCACTATAATTTTCAATATATTTCAAATACCTAATATAGAGACTACTAAGGGAACACTGCTGGCTCCCTAAGGTCATCATTGTTTCTGATCTGGGAACTGTGAAAATGGAGCCAAGGTACATTCACATTCCTCTGCATGAGACCTTTAGTTCCTTTGGTTTAGAGCCACAGACAAAAAGAGATAGTGCTCTCATTTCTCTCCCGCCACAGTCAGTAAGACATACTGTAACAAACAGGAGAGGGCTGCAAGGAATTTAATAATTATTTTCTGGATTCTGTTTGAGTTCCTCTCTTATCCATGGTTTATCAGTTATTATATGGATTAATTGTTGCTAGCTACATTACTGTTTTTCCTCTCTTTACAATTGGACTAGCTCTGTGCCTCCCACCTACTCTCATTCACTGTATTAAAGATGACTCCACATTATATTTTTTTCTAGCTGTCTGTTATTGGACAGGAAAGGTTTTACGAGGTAGAATTTATATATCCACTGATCTCTGCCATCTTTAAACAGATAAGGTTGTTTTTGTATAATGTCAGATCAGTCTGAGACAGTTTCAGCATTTGATAATGAATAAGCAGAAGGGTTTCCAGAAGAGAAGACATTACTGTCAGCATTTTTCTATTGTGAAAGTTTAGGAGAGGAGTTGAATAGTTGGCTCATAAAGGCTACAGATAAATTATTTCCAGAATATACTTTAATCTTTTTTTTTTTTTGGATAAATTCAATATTTATAGAAGTTTTCAATTAAGTAGATGAGCTTTCCACTTTGCTACACTAAGTAACTATAGACATAAAATGACAGGACTAATGAATGATTATTGCATATGTTATATATTTAGGTTTTAGTAGAAAGAAAACATGTAAATACAAAATTAAAATTGTGCTTATTAGAATCAACACAACTAAATAAGACAATAAAATTACCCTATAATCTTAATTTCAGTTCATGCCTGGTTGGTCAGATATGTCATTGTGATACTCTTACTTGATCTAACTCTAAAGTTTTATATATTTTAAAGTCTTACTAGACATACCAAGTCCTGCATTCTGAAAGATTCAGGTTAGATACTGGGGAAGAAATTTTCAGCAGCAGGGAAGGGATTATGAATGGTTGATTAAGGAAAGCTTGTTCAGTCAGCACTGCTAGTGGTCTTAAAGTGCAAGTTAGGTGACAACCTATGAAAAATGTGAGAAACATTATTAATTTTACCTTTAGGCTTTCTGCTCCCATCTTGCAGAATTTGATGGATAGAGAGATAGGACAATATAAAAGCATATAAATCAGTGTTTCCTAACATGTGGAGTTGAAAGTTTTTTCAGCAAGCAAGGAAAAAAAGTGATTTTCAAATCTAGATTAATTTTAGAGAGTTAAGTCAAATTTAGCACTTGAACTTTCTTAGTGTGGTTTTCACATGTATAAACACAGATATATACATGTATGTATACACACATGCACACACACTTATGGTTATGGTATCACCATAATGAGACAGGTTGAAAAATTTTCAGATATTAAGGAAGGAATTAGTGGATAAAATTTTAAAAGACCTTGTATGAGGTAAGATTTATTCTAAGATTGTTCATGGGCCTGATTCAGTTGAACTAGATTCCATTGTCAGTATTTTACAGTCATCTTCCTTTGTGCTTATCTAACCTTGAACTAATGACATATTCAGTACAATAATTCAGTGACATCATTCTAATTTATGACAGCTTGCACCTATGAAAACAGGCTCTCCTTCTAAGAACAGTAAGAACTCGGCAGACGTCTTTAATGTTCCTGTATACTGGGCTGCACAGTTTATTACTGGGAACTATACCTAACAGGCCAGAGTTTCTCAGAGTTTGGATTGGATCTTTACATCTTTAGTTTCTTAATTAAACTGTGCCAGAATGCGGGCTGCTTGCAATTTCATTTGGCTTAAGCTCATCCAATCTAAACTGTCTGCAAAAGCAAGATGCAAGTCCTTTCCTTAGTTTTCAATTCCCGATTCAAGCCAACTCTGAGCTCAACATATGAGCAGTGAGATCAGTCAGGGAGTATGAACTTGAGATCTCTAAGCCTGAGCTTCAAAGTGACAGTCTGGGTGTAACATTGCTGCTAAGAATCAACAAGCTGGAATGGGACAGAGAACAGTGAATTTATTGCACACACTTAAAACAAAGCCATCATTGATTATCTTATAGCACAAAAAAATAAAATGCTGAAAATGCATGCAGAACTGAAACTCTCTAGAAGTGCAGAATACATCAGAAGACAATTTAAACGTTACTTCAATCCATATCCAGACCTGGAGCATTATATTTGACAGTGACTAGTAGCAAAGCGTGTGTTTCTTGTAATCATTTGAAGTCAGTTCCTGCTTAGTAAGATGGCTGTGAATTTGGAGTTCAGAAATACTGGGGGTTCTGAACTTCGTGTAGAAGCTGACTTCAATCAGTAATCAGAGCAAGAATGGAAACTGAAGAAGGGAGCTGTTGACTTAATGTACCAACCCACCCAGAGCAGTAAAGAGCTGGAGGAACGTCCCCATCCCAAAATTTTTCACTGTAGAACAAAAATTTAAAAATAAAGAATAATATATAAAATAATAAGAAAATTAAAAAAAAAAAAAAAAAAAGAATTATAGTATTTTCTCACTTTCTGTTGAGGGTGAAATATTGGAGGATAATATAGATGACAAGCATTTTTCTATATTGGATGCATCAGCAGAGTTTGACAAGGCCCCCCAGGAAAACAGAACGCATGTTTATGCTGAAGTAGTGCTCCTTTTGGTGCGTAACTTTCCCAGCAAGGTACAGTTGTGTTGTGCTTGTTCCTTGAGAGATTTTGTAGGAAAAAAAAAAAACAAAACAAATTTAACAGTAAAAGTAATAAAACATTTAAAAAGATGATGTTCTAACGCTGGGAAAAAACATCAAGCAGTGCTTATAATCAGAAGCTCTGGGCAGCTCAGGAAAGAGCATCCAAACCACAGATAGACAAGCATTCATCTGAATCCAGTCAGTGGAAGTCATCTATTCAGGAGGAATGAGCAAGAGGTACATCTAGACTGAGTAAATAGTGAAAGTACCCTTCATATGTACACCACAAGAAATAAAATCAAGTTGTAAGCTTGTTAGTCAAAGTGATGCCTAATTCTCCTGCCCCACCTGAGCATGCTACTGGGCAAAGAAGATACCCTTACAGGTTATAGGATGCAAGAAGTAACAAAAAGCTTAAGAAAGTGAAAGGATTAGTTAATGAGTATCTAGTTTTGACCTCTTATTGCAGTATCCTTAAACGTGAGCTGCCTATGAGCGGTGACGTTTGTTCCAAGCAGAGCTGTTGGGGGAGCCGTGGGTGTGGCATGTGCAGCACATGGGAGGGGGCCAGGGTGAGGGTGACCCCAGGGCCAGGACGTGGCCAACGAGGAAAGGTGGGCAGGCCCAGCCATGGTGGCTGGGGTGCGGTGGTGGCTGGGCTAGCCCGTGGCATTGAACAGCAGGCTGGGGTGGTGAGGCGCGAGGCCGGTCATGGGCCAAAAGCCCAAGTGAGACCAAGACACTTGCATATTTACAAAGGATAGGTATTCCTACCTGGTAGGGGCTCTAAATCACTTGTCACTGTTTTCATGGTGGATCTTATATACCTGACCAAATAGAGAGATGATGCTTTCGGTTCCAGGCGCCTGACTTTGGTTTGAATGTAGTCTGGAGAGAGAGGGTTACTGTGCGCACATTTCCTAGACAGTTAGGAGGAAACGTGTGGTGAAGCAAATTGCAGAGCTACAAGTCTCTATAAAACAACCTGACTAAACAAAATATTTTCTATTCTCACATGTGAAGTGGAAACCTGTGCTTTTGGATGAGACCAGCAAGAAAAACAGTTTAAGCTCTCAGCAGTGGCAGACTGGCATATCCCTAATTTTTGGAGGCTTCTTAATCAGGTGAAGAAGAGAAGCTTTAAGTAGTACACTAAAACTTAATAGAAGACATTTGAGTGGTGGTTTCTGAAATGTTACAGAAAAATGAAATTTAGAGACTGAAAAACCTTATAGCCAGAGGCACTTTTACAGGCTTCAAATGAGCTTCTCTGAAGAAGCTCTGAAGCTTGGTAACAGTCAGGTAATGCACATAATATTGTGAATGAAAAAAACCCAACATATTTATATAACATCCCTGGAACAAGATAAACAAATTATATTTAAACAAGTAGAAAATATTGTTTACTTACGTTAAACTATTAAAGTCACTTCTTTGAAACAGTTTTGTTAGATGAAGATGCAAGACAAATGTACGTACTGAATCGCATACTTAGAATCTCTTCCAGCAGGCATGTCAATACAGATGTAGCACAGAGTAGCACTGAAAAAAAACAACTTTTAAGTTATCATGAATCTATTCCATTCAGATGCAGAAATATAACCAACCTCAGCATCCTCAAACCAAATTGTTAGGAAATGTGATTAAAAAAAAGCTACCGATGAAAGTAATAAAACATCTGCCAAAGAGAACAGCAGAATCAGGATGTGATCTACAGTTTTCAGTGTGAAAAAGCAGAACAGCACCAAGGAGCTGTAAAGGTTGTCACTTGTGAGCATTTTACCACTGTAGGGGAGAAAAATGAGGATGACTTGACAGTTAAAATAAATGTCAGTTACTGGGGACTCACAGATGTCTGAAGAAACAAATAGGATGAAG